TTTTTTTTTTTTTTTTTTTTTTACCAGCAATCAAAATGATTTTTGTGTCTAAGCATCTGGTTGGATCTCTGAGGAACCTAATGGACTGGTGCGAATGGATACAGCACTGTGTTGCCAACTACAACAGAGCAAGAACCAGTTGAGCACTTTGTGAACAGTTAGCCACGAGGTGAGGAAATGTGATGGGAAACCCGACAATTTATTACAAACAGAAGTGTAGATTATATTACTACTACTTTGTACTTGCTTATATAGCATCTCCCATCCAAGAATTCCAACGTGTTTTACAGGTTGTATTAAGCCTCAGAACACCTCAGTGGGGTAGAGAATTATTTTTATTCCTCATGGGGAAAGAGACACAGATGTCAAATGCTCTCAAACTGAACTTTGTACAAAGAAGTAATAAATTCTATCCTTTGGTAAAAATGCTTCTAAATTGGTAAAAGTATATGCAAATTCTTAAGGATTCTTATACCATTGCTACTGAAACAGAGCCTGATTTTCAACTGAGCGCTCAAAAACTAGGGCCAAATCAAGGTAACCTGGATCCCTAAGCACACTACATATCCCAACACTATATTTTGGTTAAACTCTCCCCTCCCTCCTAGGTGTAGCAATAGGGGCTTCTCTTCCCTTGGGAGCATCAGGGATAGCAGTTGGGATTCCCTCTTTCCCATGGAGAATTGGGGTGGGGAAGGCCAGTACTTACACTCTGCCTGCTGGGGTATCTGCTTGGGTGGGTGGGCAAGGCCTGCTGCACTCTTCTCCTCCTGCCACACATGGAGACCTCCAATGTAATGGTTTTGGCATACTGTTCCGGGGGGGTGGGGTGGGTGGGGTGGGGGGAAAGGGGGTAAGTCCTGAAGTTACCATCGCATTGAGATCAATGAGGCAGTTCGCCCCTCCCTCTCAGAGCAATTGCTCCCTGGGGCTGGGATGAACCACGCAAAATTTAACAAACAATGATTGAGCATACAGAAACAACTTAGTTGTCAGAAGGAATTTGAACCTGGGACCTTAAAATACCAAGTTATAATTTCCTGGCTTTGAAACATGTGTTGTTGTGGACTTCTGTTTTGTTTTCTTTTGTAACTGTAACAGTCTAGTACTTTTTGCTGAAGTCTAAATTTATTTAAGAATGTTCATTGTCCAAAATTAACTGTCTTAAAATTATTCCAAAAAGGAGGGAGTCTTCCTCCCAATCTAAGAGTCTTGGTAGGGCTGCAGGAGTCAAGACATGAACTTAAAGGCCAAAATAATTAATATTTCTCCCCACATCCATCTGCTTTCAGGTGAATGAAACAACACTGAAGAAACAGAATAAGTAGGAAGCATAGCTGCGAAGTTTTGTGCAGCTCCATGTGTGGCATTTACACAAATTATTTAATAAGCTAGTTTGCAAAGTTGTAAATATGTAAATAATTTGTATACAACAACAAATTCTGGCTTTAGTGCTCATGCAACCTTAGAAAATGAAGCCTTCTGTTTATCTCCAGGGCAGCATCAGGGCAAGCTTTACACACACACACTGCCCTGGCAGTATGCCTTACCTTGTGTGGATTGGGGGAGGGGGAGAGTAGAAAGAACTTCGCCTAGAGGTAACGGGTAGTTTAGTCTCCATGCCCCTGAAGTTCATGGCCTCTCTAATAAGTCCACCAGTTAGTGCAAAGTCTGGTGATTTTTGGAGGTGAATCAAAAAGATAATAAAGGGGCCACCAACATCCATTAGATGGAAAAAACTTTTTAATCCCCATTGCATTGGGCTGGATTCTTACTGGTGAGTGACAGGCAAAATGCAATGAAGTTCATTACCTATGTCCTCGGGCAGCCAGTGCCTTAGTATGTGCTAATTTTATACTTTCAAGATTGAGGTTTGTTTTCTAGAAAGATAAGTTTATTATATTAAGTTCTGACTTTTTTGGAGCTTACACAAGATAGGGTCTTCCAGTCTCTGCATATGCAAGCAACATCTCTGCACACTGCTCTCAGATATTATAGGATTTGTTTGAAGAAGACTCTCTCATGTTGTTGCTGAAAGGACAGATCCCATAAACCAGAACACAATATACTCAAAATATATCATCATTAGGGCTGCAGATTTGCCACATTTTTTTTTTTAAATCAAAAGCCATGGAACAGTCACAGCTTACTAAATTACTATAACAGTTTGCGATTTTTGACAGAAAATGCCTTCCCCCTCGCCTCACTGAGGGGGCACTGACCACACTCAGCAGTACCCTCTGCCCCAGCACAACAACCTGAAGGCCGATCTGGTGAGGAAGGGCTGGGGAGAGAGCCCATCCCAAACTCACTCCTGGCAGCAGTGGCTCCTGCAGCTCCTATCCCATGGGGTTGGGCTGGGGTCGGGCCCAGTGTCCCACTTTGGGCATTGTAACCTAGCACACAGGGTCACAGCACCACTCGGGTTTGATTCCCCCCCAACCCTCCTGTCATGACAGAGGGGCAGGTGAGCCAAGCCAGTGGCACGGCTATTCCATGCACTAGGTTGGGGCACAACACTGCATCCAGATCTATGGGACAGGAGCTGCAGGAACCTCTGCTGCGGGATGAGTCACGGACAAACAGGAAAATCATGCTGTGACATTTTCCCACCATGACAAACCTGCAGCCATAATAATCATCATCATCATGAAGGCAAATCCCAAAGGAAAGACAACCTCCTGGCAGATTGAGCATCACCTGGATCGGTATCTAGCTACAACAATAAAACAAATACTAACAATGTTCAAATTAATCTCTAAATGTTTTGCAATATAAAATCATTTCAACAATTATATAACACTACTGTGAGGCTAATCAGTCAGAGCTGAATCCACAACACAAAACTCTATGACTTCATCTATAGAAAGTGTGTTATCCTCAATAAGCAGCCCAGAGAGGGGGAAACAACACACATTTGATCGATTACTGGGTTACCCAACCATTTTTGTCAATTAGCACCAGAATGATGGGTCCCAGGATTCATTGGTTCTATTCCTGGCTCTAAGAGCAGAGTACGCTGTAGTGGTTAGAGACAGCATAGCAAAGTGTAACAACACTCCTATCTGGGTCACCTGTAGGGACTGAACCTGGGATCTCTGGATCTAAAAGCATGAACTTCCATCATGTGATCTGGTACTATACCAATTATCATGCAAGTATTAGTGGACTCAAACCTCTGTATATGATCTAGCCATAGAGGGACAAAAATTCATAGTGTGTTGGTATGAGTTAGATAAGCATATAATTTAGCCCACTTCATCTGAAAGCCAGTGTTGAAAATAGATGTGACTTATTTCCCCCCCGCCCCCCCCAGCTATGCTTCCAGCAATCCTTCAGTTACCTTAGCTGTAAAATGAGCAAAGATGCTTGCCACCTCTAAGGTAGGTTTATGAGACCTTCATTAATAATAGGTGTGAGGTGCACAGAAATACTAAGAACAGTGAGCAAAATTGCTGGGAGTTGAACCCAAGGTAGCTTGGTTTGTAGCTTAAGGTGCTTACCCCTAAACTACAGAGTACTACTTGGAGGCATCTATCTCTATTTTACCAGTTGCGTGGGAATGAGAGAAGTCTACAGCATGTGTCACCAACACACAAAATACATGACATTTAGCAGGCCCAAGGAAGATGAGAATATAGATTCTCTGACAAAAGTGAGAAAATCAACGGTAATCTTGTGACAGACAATGGAAGTCTAAATGTTGCAAAATGAGGTGGCATTATTGGGAAATAAATCATTAGGAGTCCAAGAGCTGCAACTAATTGGCATAATAATCATGATGGTGATGATGATGCGAGCCTCCATCGGCCACTTGTTAAATTTTCAAACAAGCACTTTTGTGCTCTTCCATCTTGCCCCGTATGCTTGGGAGGAAGTCCCCATAAACATCCACAAAGCAACCTCATTATTCTCTTTCAAATCCCTTATTAAATGTTTGTTTTCCACAATGCCTACAAAAAACTTGACAGTGGTTGGGCCTCTGGTGTGCTGAGATCATACATAAGAATGGCCATACCAGGTCAGACCAAAGGTCCATCTAGCCCATTATCCTGTCTTCCGACAGTGGCCAATGCCAGGTGCCCCAGAGAGAATGAACAGAACAGGTAATCATCAAGTGATCCATCCCCTGTTGCTCATTTCCAGCTTCTGGCAAACAGAGGCTAGGGACACCATTCCTGCCCATTCTGGCTAATTAGCCATTGATGTACCATAGCTTATCATGTTGTCCAATACTGCCGCACTGTTTCTTTGTACTCCCCCATCTGTCCGGATCCATCTGTTGTCACTTTTCTTATACTTAGATTGTAAGCTATTTAGGGCAGGGACCATCTTTTTGTTCTGTGTTTGTACAACGCCTAGTACATCGGGGTCTTGGTCCCCACTTAGTGCTCGTCGGCGCTACTGTAATACAGTTAATGAATAAATAACAGTTACAATAAAACAGAGCAGATTGCAGCTGTCTGCACTGCTGGTAGGGTTGTGCATAAGACAGGCTCCCCAGCCTGCCATGCTCCATTTCCCCTTACCAGGCAGGTCTCAGTAAGCCACCGACCTGAGCAGCCAGCCCGCACATGGATGTCAAATGGCACCAGGGTGCTGTGCCGTGCCCTGCCTCACTCCAAGGGACCGACCCTATGCGTCTATGAAAAGAGCCAGCATATGGAAAGGACAGCTGGGAGCTGCCTGGCCAGGGGCCTCCCAGTGGGTGCCAGCCATGCACTGGCTCTTTACACCCCCCTCGGCGATGCTAGCCAGCTGTCCTCCAGTAGCCCAGGGTCCCAGCGGGGGTGCCCAGGCCGGGCGGGGAGGCAGAGACCCGCCACCGGTGGGGATGGAGCCCCGGCCCCTTAGGGAGAGCCATGGGGTGACGGTGCTGGGCACCATCCGCACGCAGCCCGCCCCACCACGCTGCCGAACCCGCGGCCCCGGGCCCCCGCTCGGCCCCTCACCGTGTACCCCCGCTCCAGCTCGCTCTCCTCGTAGCGGAAGGACGGGATGTAAAGCTCCATGGCGCGCGCGGGCCGGGCCAGCGGGGGGAGCCGGGCACCGCAGCGCTCCAGGGCAGCAGCAGCTCCCCGGGACCGAGCCAGCTGCGAGCGAGTCACGTGACACGCGGGGAGCCCACATGACGCCAGTACGCGGCGGGGGGCGGGCAAGGCCCCCAGCGCAGCAGCCGGCCCGGGGCGGGGGCGACGCGGGCCTCGGGCGCGCGAGCCAGGCAGCCCTGTGCAGCTCGCGACCTGCCCAGCCAGGGAACTGGAGCCGGCCCCTGGGCTCACCCAGCCCGTGGCTGCGGCAGGCGGCCCCTCGGCATGCTCGGTCCCTGTCCAAAACACTCCGCTCCGCCAGGGGGATCCCGGCTAGCGGCTCGGCGCTCAGGGAACCTGCCGGGCGGCCACAGCCGGCGGCGGTATCCACCCTTGTGCCAGGCCATCAGCTCCCGCGGCTTCTCCTCTATGTGCGCAAATGGGTGCGCTCGGCCTTTAGCTTCTCCAGCCGCCACCGAGGTCAGCATGGGGTGCTGATTAAGAGCCTGTGGCTCACTCAGTTCCCCTCTTCCTGGCATCAGGATAAACATGATTCTTTTTCCCTTACATAGTTCAACGGTTTTTTTTTTTCTTAGTTGCATTCTTGTTCTTTCTCCGTCCCCTCAAATCTCTTAGAGAGTCTCCCCTTTGTAAGCCAGCCACGGAAACAGAGTTGTTATCGCCCAACACTGAAAGGGGTTTTTGGCAACTGCTGCCGTTGAAGTCAGTTTTGCACCAGTGCCGGTCATCTGTTTCTGCTGTTTAGGGTGACCAGATGGCCCGATGTTATAGGGACAGTCCCAACAGTTGGGGCTTTTTCTTATATAGGCTCCTATTACCCCCCACCCCAGCCCGATTTTTCACATTTGTTATCTGGTCACCCTACTGCTGTTTGCTCTCAAATCCAGTGCTGGTTGGCATAATTGCTGTATCAACTGGTTGTGATGTCGGTGTAGAGGAATAAACAGATGACTTTCTAAACAAACAATATTGTTTTTATGCACCTGCTTTAGTAATAGCAAAGAAATCCAAACAAAAACACCTTTGATACTATGCTATAGGCTATCTCCACATAGGTGTTTTCTATGATACCTCAAATTAGTAGACATTAAATTTCTCTTCAATGTCTCATTCTCACCTATATACTTGCATGTTGAGCAAGTCTAGGCACAACTTGCATGAGGAACAGTACAGAGAAATACAGAAAGTCACAAGTAGGATGGACTAAGAAAAGCAAGTTCAAGAGTTTCCTAGGAGGCATCAGTAGCTCTTTGATAAATAGAAGGTAACAGATAGTAACTATTATCCCAAAACAATACTGCTGTAGCCTGTTGAATCATTCACTGGTCATACTACCCCCTGGCACCATTTTCAGTTTACTGTTGGCTCTAGATCAAGGTCACCTGATTCACATGGCTACCCATGCATGAAAGATGACAAGCAAATCAGTAAACAGTTGGAGTTTTAACACTCTATTCAAGAATCAAGCCAGGATAACAGTTACAACCTTTGACTTTGAAATTGTTTACAATTCACATTCTGCTTTAAGGGAAAAAGATCCTCTTTGGCTGGAAAGGCTCTTGATAATTTTTTGTTATTTATTTTTAACCATACAAGAGACAGCTTATTTTGGTTTATAAAGTGAGAGTACTATATATTGGTTTCTAGGCCTAGGTACAAGAACTATAAAAATCACATACTGTACACTGAACTAACATCAATTAACAATAAGGAATCTCTCCTCCACCTCTATCTTCCATAGGGGGGAAAAATCTCATCCACTATTCAAACTACGTCTTCAGAAAATAGATATGCCTTGCAACATGCAATAAAGATAATCATTTTTTAACTCTGTTGCTCTAATCAGGAGGGAAGAAGGGAGCAAAGTCTCTTCAGAACACCCTTTTCACCAGTCCAACAAACCTAGAGAGCATCTGCCTGAACATTCCAGATCTTAGCTGCAGGCATAAAGCACAGAGTCAGGAAAAAATTCTGGCCAGGAGCTTTCCTGTTGACTTCAGTGAATGTCAGGATTTGTAGTCGCTAAAATACACAAAACCCAAACAATTTAGTGCATTTCATTTGTAAACTGAGACCAAGTATGTCTGCTTTAAACAGATCCATTAAATTACGATTGTTTTGTACAGATGAGGAAAAAGTGGATTGTATTCTGAAACATTTTGAATAATCAATTCTCCTGTCTGATGAAACCTCCATTAAAATGTCAGTTTTGCTCTACTGAACAAAATACAAAGGAAGGAGCAGATGTTTATTCATTTGAGAGATTAATTTCATACAAACAAAATTTAGCCCAAAAGCAAATATCTGAATTGATGACAAAGTAAATTTTGGAGGCAGGTTCTAAGTGAAATATTAGATGCATTTGATGTATCCCCATGCTGCTTTGTAGCTAACAGTTTATATAGCACTTTTCTCTCCCTTATGCAAACCTTACTAACCCCAAACATCAGCCATCCATCTTGAGGCAATAGAAGACAACAACCACCCCACAAGCTCACAGGAATCACAGATGCAGATGACAGTCTATATTCTCTTTCCTCTTTACAATTATGACAACTTAACAGACTTGAGCGCGCGCACACACGCTTTTGTTTCCAAGTTTCTCATTAGAAAAGTGGTCAGTTTGATCATTTTCCTCACTGTTCTCACTTATCTTTGGAGTTTTCCTGTAATCGTTGCATTTATATAGCATGTTAACCCTATGCCCTTGCAGGGCTCTGGTTTCTATATAATGAAATAAACATAAATTGAAATACAATAATATTGTTGCAAAAAAAAAAACCCCACCCCTATTAACTTTCAAACAAATCAAAGTAAATGATCTAAGTATTCATACCACATCTATCACCATATCTCAGCACCAAGATGATCATGTATGAAGTTCCGTTAGTAAGATGATCTAGTGAGCCACCTCTTTATTTATCCCGTCTATCTTTTTCTCTTGTTGTGGAAAAGCTAACCTGAAGTGTGTTCTACACTTTGCTCTGGAAGGAAAGATCTGTGGCCACGAGAGTTGAAGACAAAACCAGAATAAAAATATTTAAATATTACACATTAAACATCTACACAATATAACAATACACAGTAAGCACTCACCTGAAATCAGGGCTGCCAAATTTATTGGCCATTTCCCTCTGCACAATGGTAGTACCTGAACTATGTACTGGACTGTAGACTAGAAGCTGTAGTAGTGGCTATAGAGCAGGGGTCGGCAACCTTTCAGAAGTGGTGTGCCAAGTCTTCATTTATTCACTCTAATTTAAGGTTTTGCGTGCCAATTAATACATTTTAACTTTTTTAGAAGGTCTCTTTCTATAAGTCTAAAATAAATAACTAAACTATTGTTGTTTGTAAAGTAAATAAGGTTTTTAAAATGTTTAAGAAGCTTCATTTAAAATTAAATTAAAATGCAGAGCCCCCCCGGACCAATGGCCAGGACCTGGGCAGTGTGAGTGCCACTGAAAAATCAGCTCGCATGCTGCCTTTGGCACGCGTGCCATAGGTTGCCTACCCCTGCTATAGAGCAACTCTGGTGCCGCTCCATGATGGTGGAGGTGCAGGCTGACAGAAATCCATTCCAATCCCCTATGGGCTACCTGCTACTGAGGTATTTGGGAGGATTTATATTGTAGATAATTTCATCCAATTTTTTCCAGCCTAACAGTCATTAAACATACAGCAAAGGAAAAGGTAAGCTATGTAACAAATCTAAACAGTCCCCAAGTTTAGCACTATAAGATACCTTAATGAGAATAATTTTTATGGTATCCAGGATTCTTCAGAAATGTTAAGCACTGAGCATCCTATAACTGACTTCTAAGTTTTATTCTGATCTCAGGTGATGTACAACAGAAATGATTCAATTGATATCAGAGCGATTACACCAGGGTAAAACTAGTGCAAGAGTTTTGTTGCATGGCATTATTTGTGGTTTGTCAGTCATTTATTGATCATTTAGAAGGGCTACCTTTCTTCCTCCTAAAAGCAACAGAAAGGCTACTTTATTTTCCTCCCAAGAGCAATACAGTTCACTAAAGAGAAAAGTGTTTTTGAGACATTAATCCAGTTGCAATTTAATGGTACATCATCAACCAAGAGGAAGAAGGAAAATTATATGGTGAGCAGAATTTGAGCAAGAGGCATTAATATATTTTGGAATATTAAGTATTCAATCTTCACAGTATATCATCATTAGCATGCGAAGCTTTAAAATTCTAATTTAACATAGAAATCAGGGTTTCTCCACATGGCTGACAGACCTGAAATTGTCTTGGTTTACTACTAGCAACACATTTAGGGAACAAGAAGCCAAAAGGACAATTTATATGACTGGCACTGCTAAAACTTAAAGAATACAAATCATGGACAGCCTGAAGTGAATGGAGATGCACTCTGGGATTCTTATTTCTCCACTTACATTGAATGAAGATACTATGAAGATCCTCATGAACCAAAAAGCATGGTAACATCTTAAATAATTTGAGCAGTGTATTAATCTTTGTGGCATTGGCCTTCACATCTGAAATTATCTATGTTTACTTTAGAAATGACCACGTGTAACAGATGTGGAGAAAGCACTATGCTAATGTTGGATATAATATTTCTTTCCCCTTTCCTGTATCTCCGCTTATCTCTCTGCTATGGCACAGTCCAGAAATTTAGTTTTTTCAGGACTCTGATATATATCTATATCTACTATACAGATCTAGTATAGTATATAGTATAGGGGTTCTCAAACTGGGGGTCAAGACTTCTCAGGGGGTCGCAAGGTTATTATATGGGGGGTTGCGAGCTGTCAACTTCCACCCCAAACCCCGCTTTGCATCCAGCATTTATAATAGTGTTAAATATATAAAAAAGTGTTTTTAATTTAATTTATAAGGGGGGGGGGGTCGCACTCAAAGGCTTGCTATGTGAAAGGGTTCACCAGTAAAAAAAATGTGAGAGCCACTGATATAGTATCTACTATACTATACTGATAGAAAGAGAGCAACACAATCTCTAAAGGAAAATATTTACTAAATAATTTGCATACATAATTTACTTATAACCCTTGAAACATTTGTGAATATTGTCAATAACTTGTTTACAGACAACACTTTGGGGGTTGAGGATGTTCTCCCAAGTTTTAGTACTTGTTACTATCATAAGTTCAAATGCAAAAACATAATTATGGATGCACACAT